AATCAAAACCAGATAAGCTGAACAGTCCTATATCTAGTTAAAACACACACACACACAAAACCAAAAAAACCCCAAACCCTGAAAATTCCAAGCCCAGATGATTTCACTGGGAAATGAAGAGGAATGAACATTTCCCAACTCATTCTATAAGGCCAGCATTACTCTGATACCAAAATGGAACAAAGAAATTATAAGAAAAGAAAATCTACAGACCAATATCCTTCATTAAGACAGGTGCAAAAATTCTTAACAAAATTTTAGCAAATTGAATCCAACCATATAAAAAGGGCAACACATCACTATCAAAGATGAGTTTAACATTAGAAAACCAATCAATGGTGACAAGGGTACCAAGACAATTCAAGGGAAAAAACAAGAGTCCTTTCCATAAATGGTGCTGGGACAACTGAATATCCACATGCAAAAGGACGATTTTGGACCACAAAGTCACACCATTTACAAAAATTAATTCAAATGGATAAAGACCTAAATGTAAGGGGTAAAATTATAAAACTTAGAAGAAAACACAGAAGTAAATCTTTATTACCTTGGATTAAGCAATGGTTTCATAAATATATACCTATTTTTAAGACACCTATAGCATAAGCAATGACAAAATAAACTAAATTTCATCAAAATTAAAACCTTTTATGTTTCAAAGGATATTATCAAGAACGTGAAAAACCACCTAAACAATGGGAGAACGTATCTGCAAATCATATGTCTGATAAGGAACTTGCATCTAGATTACATAAAGAATATGACACCTCAACAACTAAGATAAATTACCCAATTTAAAAAATGGGCAAATAATCTAAACAGACATTTCTCTAAAGATACAAATGGACAATAGCACAAGAACAGAGGCCCAAAATCATTACTCATAAGGGAAATGCGTATCAAAACCACAATGAGATACCACGTAACACCCACTAGGAAAGCTATGATCAAGAAGATGGACAAAAAAAAGTGTGGCTGAGGAGGCAGAGAAACTGGGACCCCATATGCTGCTACTGAGAATGTAAAATGGTGTGGCTGCTTTGGAAAACAGTTTGAACTATGTTTAGCTGAAAAAGCTAAACGAGAATTACCATATGGTCTAGCAATCTCACTCCTAAAACATTAACCAAAATAATTGAAAGCAAGGGCTCAAACAGATACCTGTACAACAACGTTCACTGCAGCATTACTCACAATAGCCAAGAGGGGGAAACACACAAGTGTCTGCTGACAGATGAATGGTAAGAAAAATAAGGTACATGCATACAATGGAATATTGTAGTATTCTATTCCAGCCATAAAAGGAACAAAATTTCGACACATACTACGATGGACAAATCTAGAAAATTTAAGTGAAATAAGCCAGACACAAAAGGACAAATACTGTATGATTCTACTTACATGAGGTACATAGAACGGGCCAATTCTTAGAGACAGAAAGTAGAAAAGAGGTTACCAGGGACTAGAGTGAGGTGGGAGTGAAGATCACTGTTTAATGGGTACAGTTTCTGTTCGGGACAGTGAAAAAGTTCTGGAAACAGATAGTGGTGAAGGTTACACAACACTGTAAATGTATTTAATGTCACTGAATTATATACTTAAGAATAGTAAATTTTATTATACATATTTTTCACAATGAAAAAGAAAAAGCTTCCTAATGGTGCTTCCTGTTTCTGCCGTTCCCCACTCCCCCTTCTCATCTGTTCTCAATATAAGAACCAGAAGCTTCCTGCTAATACCATAGGTCAGCATAACTACCTGCATTTGTCAAAGCTCACAGAAGTTTACAGCAAAAAAAAAAAAAAAGTGAATTCAACTGTGTGCAAATTATGCCCCAATATTCCACAAACTGTTAAGATTGTTTTAAAAAAGCAAACATAAATCAGATCAGGTTACTCAACATCCAGCGGTCAGCCAGGTCCTGACCGAGGCTTCCCAGACGTTCATGACAGGTACTCCCAGCCCCACCCCAACTCTCCCTCCAGCTCCAGCCACCAGTGGCTGCCTGGCTCCTCCCAGGATCTGCCAGACAAGCTCCAGCTACAGGCCCTGTGCTTGGGGCTTTCTTCCTTAGAATATTCATGAGAATTGCTCTCTGGCCTTTTGATCTTGATTCAAATGTTGAGTGCCAAAAGCCACTGCAAGGCAGAACACTGCATGAGATGGGACAATCCAGCTTAACGGTAAAAGAAATACGGTCTGGTACTTCCGAGATATTTTAGTCACTGGCCCTGTATGAGAAGTACGTTCCTTAGCCACCCTATTTAAAACTGCAACCCGTGTCCAGACAGCAGTCCCTAAACCCCTTCCCTACTTTAATTTTCTCCCTCATATCCACCACCACCTAAAATCCTATATATTTTACTTATCGTCTCTCTGTGACTAGGGTAGGGTTTGGGGCTTTTTGGGGATCTGTTCTGTTACCTGCTTTATCCCTGGCTCCTGGAACAGTATGTGGCATATAGAAGATGTTCATTAAGCACTTGAGGAAAGAATGAATAAATTAATGTCAAAATTCCTGAAAAGAATGATGTACCTGGTGTGTTTGGGGAAAAAAACCAACCAAAACTTCCACCATATTTCTCACCTCATTCGGCTCTGCTTTCTTCACTGGCCACTTCCTGCCAGGCCTCTAGCCACTCTGGCCTTCTCTCACCTTCGCCTCGAGCACACCCCACCCTCTCCCAGGTGTAGGCTTTTACAATCCTGCACCCTCTGTTCAGAACACTCTTCTCTCCGCCCTGCCTGGCAGCTTCTGGTCACTGCTCAACCTTCTGCTAAAACATCTCTTCCTTCCCAACCTCCTCGTGGGCCCTAGACTCAGACTGCCCCACTGGATGCTTTCCTAGCTCCTTGTACTTACTTCTCCTTCACTGAACTTACTACACTGCAGTTTAGTAGCTGCTGATGTGATCAGCAGCTCAGTGGCCGTCTTTGCTAAAATCTAAGTGCCGTGAAAGTGGGCACTTGGTATGTCTTATTCACTACTATATCTCTGATACCTAGGGTATTACCATACTCATGGCAGACACCCATTAGGAACCTGCAGAATCAAGTGACTGAGTACTGGAAAGGAGTCCAGACAGTCATAGGTTTGCTCCAGATAAACCCTCTTCCTTAAAACAGGATGGTTAGTCAATGTATTTGACAGTTAAAGCCAATGAACATAAGATATACCAATGGCAAGAATATGTAAGCTCATATTTTAATAAATCTTAAGATACTACTCAGAAAAAGTTAAATATAAAATTAAATACTTAAAATACACTTAGGAAACTACTGCTTAATAGACTCTGAAAGTAAGAAATTTTATAACGAAAGTATTTCCCTCTCAAGCTTCTTTATGGGGGGAGGAGGTAAATACCAACTTCCACTTACCAACTATGCTTAGAGTTCATCTGTTACTCAACAAATGGTTATTAAAAAGGAACTATACTCCAGGCACCCCGCTGGGCACACAAGTTAAACAACTGTAACAGAGTCCAATTCTATGGGGAAAGGAAGACAGTTTCTTCAAGATTCCTTTTGTGTGTATGTCTATTTTTCTTCAGTCAGAAAAAAGGGCAAACTCAGAATTGCTCCTTTAACAAAGCCCGTATCAATGATCAGCTCAGATGAACCATCTGAGGGAAACAAAGCTTGAGATAAGATAAAGTGAAATCACCAAGCAGTGTTTCTCATATGTGGTTAATAGCTAAAAGACCTCAGAAATACCAGATCATGTTTCTTTCACCATTAAGCTGGATTTTCCTGTCTTATGCAACATTCTGCCTTGCATTGGCTTTTCTTTGCCTACCCTACGCTAGGAATCTGGCTATAATTCCCAAACTCTAATGCACAGTTCTTTCCCTGGAGAGGTTCACAACCACCACAAATGCCATCTTGGTCTAAACAGCATACCAAAGCTTCAAGGTCACTACAAGATAGGAAAGTGAGTAGGCTGGTTTTTGGCTGCCAGTATGGCCCTGAGATAACTAAGAAATTCCTGGCAGTGTTGATAAATGGACCAATGAGGGAAAAAGAGAAGACCAGCGGACTAGTGAGGCAGGCCACTCCGTAAAGCCAAAACAGAACCCTGAGCAGACCTGGGGGAAGGAGGGTGGGAGAGAGAGGACACAAACTGGAAGACACACAGGGTCTGTGGCTGCTGGTCCTGCCGATGGACTAATCATGGGCCCCAGGCACTAACTCCCTGAATGACACTGCCCTCACAGTCCCTACGTTCAAACTGAGGAAATGTCCCTCAACTCTTCCCTATGCCACAAGGGCAGCTGGAGGGGACAGAAGAGATCCTGGCTACAAAATGCACAGAGCAACAGGACACAGGCACAGTCTACAAGCTGCACTGTCCAGAACAGTGGAAGCGAGTCAGTGCCTTGAATTTTAAACACAGCTTCAGACTTAAGACAAGTCAGCTCTGGCAGCAAGGATCCAGCCCTCAAACAGCGCAGAACAGAAGCTGGAAGTCTCCAAACGGAGCTGCTGCCTTTGAAAAGGCTTTTTTCATACAAAAGGTCTAAGAAACTTGAAAGAACAGGACTGCCTGGAGAGAGGAAGGGAAGGAGGAGACTGTCAATCTCAAGATCTTCACTGGGATTTCAGAATCGAGAGCCTGCATTAGAATTGGAGTGTCAATGCTGGAGCCCCAAGAGTATTATTAGAAAACAAATCAAAAATCAAACCCTATACCAAACCTGCTGTAATACCCTAATGTGCACCACATGTAGACTTTCACTTGGCAAACAGCAAACTGAGCATGTAACACCAAGACAGACTTTACTGGTTTATGACACAACTGTCACTGCAAGTTAAAGAGGACAATTTCCTGAAAACTCAATTGTGTACTCAAGATTAGCTGTCTACTCCACCCCTCTTCTAACCTGAAGTGCTGCAGGGAAAATAGTGACTCTGTGACAACAGCAGTGCTGCTCCCTGCAGGCAGTTCCTGGCTATTACAGAGTAATTCACTGGCGTAAACACACTGAAAAGTAGGAACATACCCCATCGCTGCAGAGGGGGCTGTCGGATTATTCTTCAGTTCCTGCACATTTACCACTTGAGGGACACTCTTCAACGTTGACTCGGTCAAAGTACTTACAGCTATGTAGAGAAGAGGGAGGCACATTAATTGCAGTAAAGGATCAAAAATTCCAGCCAGGTGTAATGAGTAACTAAGACACAAACTCAAGCAGAATGCAAACTTATTATACAAAGGAGATTCAGGTAGTTCTGCAGCACTGTGTTCAGTGGAGCACCTGGCACACTCCATTCACAGAGACTATGGGACGAGCCTTTGTGCAACTTAATCAAATGTACTAGTTTAGGAAAAAGGAACTCCCTAGCCAGCTTTTACAGGGCAGAGCTGACATACTGCCATACCACTGGCTCGTCCTGGAGAATGGGAGAAGGAGCTATTAGCGGTGCTCAGACTGAGGACTTCTGCCTCCATCACACATTCATTCATTCAACCACCCTTTCATGTGAAATTATTATTGTTAGGTGCTGGGAGTACCATGTCTAAAATATAGTTTCTTCTCTAAAGGAGCTCACGGCTTGGTGAGATGGATACAATGAATAAAGTGTGAAAAATGGAGATTGGACAAGAATGGAGGACAAGGCCAAGAGGCCTGAATTAAGGAGTGGCAACAGGGATTGATCTCATACCACTTGCCCACTGTAGGCTTATCAGCTTTCTCTTTTTCTGTGTCTTATAATGTAAAACTGTATCCCAAGCCTTAATGACATTTCATAATTAACTATTAAGAAGGCCTAAGCAAAGTTCTCAGATCTCTTGCACATCCTGGGCCAAGCTGAAAGCGGTAGCCCAGGTAGAGCGGTGGGTCTATGGAAGCTCACTTCACATCCTCCTCCAGAGACGCCACCAGGGACACCCGGCCTGGGACTGCACATACTTCATCTTTCGCATTCAAAGGTGCCTACATCTTAGAAATTTTTGCTTCCAAAAGGATAACAGAGATCACACCACCTCCTGCTGAGAGTGGAATAATCCGAAATCCTGCCAGATTTTAAGTTTATAAATAATCAACTCAATCAGCTTGATTTTGGGCCTGTTCAGCACAACACCAAGATTCTGCTTGGTCTAAGTAATATTTAAACATCAAAGGTTTCTTATTTTTTAAGAAGGCTCAACTACCTTTAAAAGTTATTTTGCTTTTGCTCTTTCATAACTATTTTAGATGCCTTTATAAGAGTTTAATATTTAAACTTTTCTTAGAAATCTTTTATTACTATATAATGGTAATTCTTTTTTGTCTAAATTAAACCATGTCTTTTTTTAGTCTTAAAATTTTAGTCTAAATTGATAGGTGTTCTAAGCAGTGACAAAACAAAAAAGTAGTTTTATTCAGCTAAAACAAAAACACCTGATTTAGAGCAGAGTTTCTCAACTTCAGCACCACTGACATTTAGGGGCTGGGTAGTCCTTTGTTGTGGGGTTGCCTTGTGCATTTTAGCATTTTTTTTTTGCAGCATTCCTGGTCTCTACCCACAAAATGCCAGCAACACTGCCAACTATTGGGGGGAAAGGGCAGGGCAAAACAGCTTCTAGCTGAGAATCACTGGCTTATAAAAACTGATAACTAGTGGTAACTGAAGTCCCAAGGATAACTACCTAGAAATCTCAACAGAAAAAATTATGGGTAGCCACAAACCACTGACAAAATGCAGAGGCTGATTAGCTCATTAGTGTTTCCATCTGTAAAGTTTCCATCTTAAATTTGCAATCTTAAGAAAAAGCTGCACTGCAAAACAAAGAACACGGGCAGAATCCGAGTTTTGCTACTTAACCCTCACCTCTCCAAACCTCACATTTACTCAAAAGCAAAATGGGCATACTAAGGCCTGCTGCAAAGGGTGGCTGGGATCCTTAAAATACTATGAGACAACTCTACATTATTAGGTGATCTAACTGAAAAGAGTAATTTGGGGCATAAAGCAAACATTATTCAAAAGTAGGGATTAAGAACTCCATCAAAAAAGCCCCCACAAAACCCACTGATTTTCCACTTAACATTGAATGTGGCAGATCTAATACTGCCCCTTAAAAGAAAATATTTTCAGCCCAAGTCTCTGCCTCCTTGAACTCTCCCTTCAAAAACAGAGAGACAGCTGTCACACCAGTCTTCTCCTCTCAAGGGCAGCAGAGAGAGCCAGCCATTTCTTGGCACCAGTGTCCTGGCCTGAGACTCGGACAGCTCATGATCATAGGGGTTTTACCTGGTGCCTGACTGGCCATCTGCCGTCGCAGGGCTGCAGCGCCGGCTGCCTGGGGGGCGGAGATGGGGTGGGAAGGACCAGGTGCACCATGCTTCACAGTTTTTGTTGCAAGCATTGTGCTGTCAGCCCCTTGAGGAATGATTTTGCTAGCTGATGTAGACACTGAGGGGAAAAGAAAAATTAGGTGAGAGAATGCATCAGAGAAGAATATGTAAAAGTTAAAATGGCAAATACTCCATGTTAGGTTGCAGGGGAAGTGCTAACATTAAAACTCTTCAAGCATTGACACAGAAAAGTATTAGCAAACTGACAGGCTGGCACCTTTCTCTTTCAAAGATGCTGTATGCAATTTGCCCGCCCACTTCTGTTAGCTAAAATACTTCACAGGATCGTTTCCTCCGACGCTGAACAATATATAACTTTTATGCCAACACAGAGCAATGTCCTGCCCTCCTCTCATGAAATCTCTCCATTCTAGGGCCTATGTCTGCCCTCTGTTAGAAGTCACTTCCACAAAGAGTCCTGATGCTCTGAACTGAAAGTGTGACAGCACCACACAGGCCACATCAGTGAGCCAGTACAGACTGCGAGCACTGTGGCTGGTGAGCTGTGCAGCAGATTATGGCGACAGGTGAGGAGCTGAAATGACTAGAACCTGAAAGGCACAAGCTGTGAGGCGGTAACTGTGAACCCTGCAGCGTCTCCTCTTCCTCACAATGTCCTACCAGCGCTTTCAAGGAGAACACACCTCTTGAACTGGCCCTCTAATTTCTAGAATACTAGTAGAAAAGGGCTGGAACCCACAACTCATAGGTGCGATAGTATAAAACCCAGTTACAGTTCCTTCGTGAGTTAGAAACCTCTTAGGAAGAAAAGATCACTTCCTGTCTAACTGTTTACTTACTTGATGTTCCCATCACACCAGGCGAACCATGAATCAGGTGAGATTTCGCAAAAGGAGGTGCCTGAGGCAGGAGACCGGGCTGGATGGAAGAAGTCCGAACCACCGGGGCATGCCGAGGGACCTGGACCACTGCGTCGTCATCTTTACAGGATGCTCGTGTGTCTTCACTCTCCAAAGACTGAGAAATGGATGACGTTGAGCTGACTTCATCCAAGTCTTCGTAGTATCTCTGAGACAGGAAGGCTGACCGAGACAGGCTGGCTACAAAGCCCCAAACAAAACACAATGTACAACTCAAGGCAAGTCCAAAAGCTATGTAATTTTCACTGTCCATAGAGAAATAGCCAAATTGTCAAATGATTTAATTACTACTGATTTGAAGTGGAAGCAGCTGCTGTTGAATGTGGACAAAGATAGTTTTAGGTCTTTGCTCAAAGGGGCTTTGCGAAACCGAGCTGTGAAGGACAAGAACATCCTGACTGTTAAACAAAACAGTGTGAAGTGAGAGACGGAATGAATGCTGCTATAGAGGCAGGGGACCCTGAGCCCTCATTGAAGTTCCCAGGCAGAGTAACACCACATCAGAAAAGCAACAGACAAGCTTCCACAGCAGAGTGGACAGTCACACTGCTGCCACTGCTTTCCAACACTAAACTTCTAAGAACAGGCCTAACGCAAACCAGAAAAGACAGGACATCTTCAGTCCTGAGGGTCTCTAACATTGCCAGATAAAGCTAATCATTCTTTTGAATCAGATAAAAGATTTTTAAAAAAATCTCTGAAATCAATCCTGACCTTCCCTAGTTTTTTCCTTCCATAAACTATGAGGTAAAGCTTTATGCCATGTTACTCTCTACCAGGAACTTCCCAATGTACATTACTGTCTGTACACTGGAAAAAGCCAAAAACCAAAGAAAAAACAGCCCTTTCTCCTCCTTAAGTTATTTAGAAGCATTGCTAATATTTACTGACTTACTTGCCCTACGGGCACATTACTCCACAAGACTTTATCTGTCATAATGTAAACGTAACATAAATGAATGCAACTGAAAACCAGTGCTGTGTACTTGGGCGACTGCTAGGCGGCACCATCAATATGCACAGACACTAGCCATGTGCAGATATTTAGATTAAAATAATGAAAATTGAATAAATGAACACTTCAAATCCAAAGCTGCACCAGCCACCTCGGAAGTGCCCAACTGCCACATGTTAACTACTATGTTGGACAGCGCTGATACAGAACACCCTCCATCAATGCAGGAAGGCCTATGGGACAGCGCTGCACCAGCACTGCATTGACTTCGATGCAAGTCAATACTCGGCAGGGTCACTTAGAAAGTCCACTCACAACCACCAGCACCGCCGGCAGAACTGCAGTTAACACTTACTGAGCACATGCTTGGCGCGTCTACATTAGAAATTGCTATCACCTGACTTTACGGCTAATGCCTGGAAAGGTTAAATACTCTGCCCAAGGTCATGAGATTGGTACATGGCAGAGCCAGAATTCAAACCAGGCGTGTATCTGACTTGAAAGACCATGCTCTTATGTTATACATAAAATACTCTGTGCTAGGTACAGTTTTGATCCCATGACCTTTGCCCCCTGGTGCCACACCCGTGGTTATGTTCTGTTAGATGGTTATATTACATGGCAAAGGGATTTTGTGGACATAATTGAGGTTACTAATCAGTTGAGCATAAACAGAGAGGACAGCTTGAATTTTCCAGGTGGGCCCAACACAAAATCTCAAGAGCCCTTAAAGGTAGAGAAAGGAAGCAAGAGAGGAAGCAGAGAGCCGTGGCAGGAGGGGAAGGCAGATGTGAAGCACAAGAAGGGTTTGATGTGCTGTGGCTGGACTGCAGATGAAGGGGCCGGGAGCACACAAAAAGGAACCGAGGACCTCAGTCCTGCAGCTGCAAGGAACTGAATTCTGCCAACAACTCCCGTGAACTCAGAAGTGGAATCTTCCCCAGAGCCTTAGATGAGAGCTCAGACCAGCCAACACCCTGACTTCAGCCTGTGAGCCCCGAGCAGAGGACCTAGGAGAGCCATGCTGCGCCTGGACTTCTGACCCACACAACAGCGTTTTAAGCCACTACATTTATGATAATCCGTTACGGCATCCATAAAAAACTAATATAAACCCCACTCTCTTAGGGCCACGCTGCTCTCAATAATCCTAGTTCCTGAGAGTTAGTAGTGACAAGAGATGACTCACACTCATCACCTTCAGGAACTGGATAGAGAAATGGAAATAACTATGTAACACCCAAGGTCTGATACAGCCTGGGGGGAGGGGGTCTCTCAGTTTCCTTCCTTCGTCTTTCTGATGCAATTCGTTGGATTAGGGTGGAGAGAGATCCATCAATTGAGAGTCCAAGGGCCATGCTCACTTGCAGAGCCCAGGAGCCCAAACTGCTCACTGTTCCAAGGATGCTGCCTCTATAGCTGATACGTGCTGGTTCCTGCTGTGATCAAGGATGCAGTTAACGTTTCCGGTATTTGAAGGAGGCTCCACTGAAACCTAAAGAATCTTACTCTGCTTAAATGCCAGCTCAGATTAGGACAGGCAGAAAGCCACATAAACAGGGAAAAAAAGGAGGGCTATCATTATTGCATCTAGGGGTTTGAAAAATTTCAAATTCCAGGTAGACAGCAGATCTAAATTTGAAAGGCAAAACATTAACATTTCTAGACAGTAATAAAGATGAGGTGCATACATACTCTTGTTACCTAGAGATAAAGACTTCTGAAACAGAACAAAAAGAACTGTATACGAAAAGGCTGAAAAATCTGTTTTAAAATTAAGAACTTCTATTTGCCAAAAGATATTAAGAGGGTAAAAAGGCAACAAAATACGTATCTTCAATTTATATAACCAACAGAAGGCTGATATCAAGAACTTATAAAAACTTTTACAAATCAGTAAGGCAGATTATCCAACAGACAGATGAGCAAAGGACTTAATCAGGCACTTCACAAAAGAAGCTGTCCAAATGGTTATTAAACGTGTAAAAAGGTTACACCAGCATAGTTAAAAGGAAAAAGACTGACAATATGAAGCTTGGCAAGGCTGTGGAACAGCTGGAACATTCATGCATTGCTGGTAAAAGCATGACCCGGTACAACCACTTTGGAGAAGCGCGTGCAGAATTCATCGACGCTGAGCACACGGACAGCGTACGAGGCACAAGCCTAGTTGGAGCCACGTGACCACCTACAAGCGGTACACATGTGCCCCACAGGACACGCGCAAGAATGTTCAGAACAACATTCTACTATGTTATGGCTGAAACTGGAAACAGTGAATGTCCATTAAGAGAAGCATGGATAAACAAATGCAGTGCATTCATACAATACAGCAGCAAAAACAAATAATCAGCTACACGCAGTAACATGGATGACTTTTAGAAACCTGATGCAGAACAAAAGAAATCCATCTAAAGAATAAATGGACTTACACAGTATGCAAAGAGCAAAACACAGGCAAAACCAAATCACAGTGTGTAAGTAGTAAAACTGTCAAAAAAGGAAAACTAAAGGAGACTAAAGAGAACAATGGCTTAATGCACCATATAATCCTGGATTGCATCTTATATTTGCAAAAAAAAAAAAAAGAGGGGCTGAGCAGAACACATGAGGGACAGCTGGTAAAATGTACGGACTGCACTCAGACAACAGTGTTCTGTCAACGTTAAGTTTCCTAAATCTGATTACTGTACTATGGCTGTATAAGAGAACATTCCTGTTCCTAGAGAACACATCTCAAAATACTCAGGAGTAACAGGGTCCTGGGAGTCACGGCCGCCTAACCTGAGGACTGCAGAAAACACAGCACAAGAGCCTCAACCACCACCTTGAGCTGCTTCATTCACTATGTATAAGCTGCTTCTTGCACCAGGATTCAGGCGGATGACAGACTGTGGGGACATTTTCTCTATCTCCTATTAAGAACCAAAGGGAAAACACTCACGTGTCCTACTCCCACACCATGTTCTATATGGTTTATGCTAAAAACTCAGGACCAGTTTCCTCTACCTGGAGCAGTAGATCTCACCGGCGGGGTTTTCCTCTTGGCCAAGAAGTTTCTCAGCTGTGCCTGTTTCACGGGGGACAGTTTAGCTGCAAGAAATCCATGAACCCATAAATTTTAAGACTTGATTTTTAAGATATCAGTATGTGGAAGAGAACAAAGAGTTAAAAGACTGGGAAGAATGCATTTACCTGGTACTTTGGGCAAGGGTTTGGTATGAGACTCTACGGTGGTTTTCAACAAAGCATTGCGCAGGCTTTCAAGGTCACTGTCAAAACTGAAACAGGATAGTGTTACAAGTGAACCAACTATGACCTGAGAAATTGCAGGGGGTGGTACACTATCCTCCTACATAAAAGGCAAGAGATGAGAGCATACCAATATGGACATGGGAAATCTGACCAGCCCAAAGGAAAGAGATCACAGTCTCAACATTACATACCACCCCCACAGCAAACACCACATCAATGGGGCTCCAGGGGAAAGGGCAACTAAAATCTACACAGTTGGCCTAAAGGCAGAAACATAAGACCACTTTGGTAGCTTCAGGGGTTCACTGTCTAACTGCAGGGTCTGAAATCTCCACTCTTGCAAAATGACAAATCTGAGCTTCAAGACAAGTTAGTCAACCTAATCCTGACAGTTAATTTTCAATTAAATAACTCTGACTACAGTATCTGCTATCATCTATTGAGCATCTGTATAAAGTACCACCAGGTGCTTTATAGACTTAGTTTAACTCTCCAATAATCCTCAAGGCACATATTGCTAGCCCCGTGTTTTGGCAAAGGAACAAAGGATCAGAGAGGGTGAGGAATCCGATCAGGATCACACAGGTGAAAGACAGCAGAGTCACTCTGAAACCTACATCTGCACCACTCTAAGATGACTCTGCCTTACTCTAAATATTTAATTGTTCATTCAACCATATTTATTGAGTGCAAGGGCCACTAACAGGCCCATTCCTGCACACCTGTGAGTGCTGCTCTGGGAAGGAACATCCAAGGGAAGGCTCCACTGGGAGGTTTGGTTATAAAGACGGAGCTGCTGGAGACTATCGACCAGGTGATTCAGCCTCTTCCTCTGTTGGTTGATGATTTCCCGGTTGTTAGCAAGGGTGTTAAACAGTGTCTCTCGCTCTGGCACAAGCAGGCGCCTGTTGACATCAAGAAGGAAAGAATCAAATGTGAATGGTTCCAGGAAGGGGACTTCCCACCAGAAGAAAAAAAAAGTCTACAACAGTGAGAAGAATAAAATGGAGACCCACTAGTGGAAAACAAGCATCAAGACATTACTAAAATGTCAAATGGGGATGAAAGCCCCTCCGATAAGGATAAGATGGAAGGAGGAAAGAGCAGCCGGGGCTGGGCAGGCCGGGCCTGTGCAGAGGACGGCACAACCCGCAGAACCTCGGACGGGTTCCAGGAAGGAACGGCGGGGAAACTCCTTCAGCTATGTACTTAGGATGTGTTTACTTTTCTGCATGTAAATTACAGTAAATAAAAAGGAAAAGCCCAAGGGTTTACGGGAGTCCAGGGAGTCGGTCATTTTTTCAGAATGCTGTCGAGGAAGAAGGATAGGAGAGTGGCCAAGGTGGCGGAGCGAACAGAGGGGATAGTGCACGACTCAGCAGCAGGGAGGTCGCCCCACCCCTGAAAGAAATGAAACAAGAAAGGGACAATAATTCCTTCCTTTCTAGTGACAAGGTAGTGCAACATAAATCTTTAAAAGGCATTTCAGTAGGATACAATGTAATATTTAGAGAAGGGCCTAAAACAGAGAAGTGTTAGAAAATTGTATAGATTTAAGAATCTGAACTCCGCAGAAAGGGAACTTAAAGGCACGTTAAGTAGAAAACTCACTGGGTTGTTATAAAGGAGAAGAAAGCCTGGCTTCTCTGTTAGCATCATGCACTTTTTAAAAAGTCAACTTACTAATTAGGAAAAGAAATTCAACTGTCAAGCAGAACAGAATGCTCACACTGTCAGGTCAAGCCAGTCTCTCACATGGGAAAGAACATGAATTCAAAGCCCGGAGAGTGAGCTGTGAAATCTCTAAAGGCGCCCAGCTGCTTAAGGGCACAAGGGCTCCAGGCCACAGATGCTTGCCCCGACAGCATCTGGGGGATCACAGTTCACTTCTACCTCCCCACATCTAGGCTCCAAGCTGAGCTTCCTCAGGTTGGGCACAAAGCCGTTCTCCATGTTGTACAATATAACATATTAAATTCTGTTTACTTATTTTAAACGCATTCTTGCCCTGCCCCTGACACGACACAGGCTGCCCCACTTAGAAGTCTGTGATCCCACAGCTTTGTAAACAAGTAAACAGATCATTAACTGGTTTGTTTCCTTACAAGGCCAATCACATTAATCAAGTGTAAATGTTTCAGAAATCTGACATTCTGAGGGCTGACCTGTTTTTTACATGTCCTGTGGGCACCTTACTGCTTTCACAACGTACTGCATTCTGTTCCTTCTGGAGAACACACAGAATAAAACCAAACACCCAGGGACAGAAGGTTTCCCTATACTTTTGTTCCCAGTCCTCTCATCCTTGTAGCTATCCATACTAATTAGGAGTATTTCCTCCAAAAGAAAGTCTGGAATATACAGAAAAGTATAAAAGTAAAATTCCTCTTAATCCCATCTCACAGGTGTAACTGTGACTATTTTGGCAGATTTCTTTCCAGCCTCTTTTCCACAGCAGCTCTCCACACCGAGGTCATGTAGTGCGACTTTATGTCTTCCTCTTTTCCTATTTTATATATTGTACCTAATAATTAGTTATGTATTTTATATATTTCATATAACAGGAAATACATTCAATTTTTTTTGAGAACATGCTATTCAATGCTTACACAGTATTCTGTATTAAGGGGAAGAAAAAGTGACGAGATTTTTTCTAGCCACTCCTCTAACCTTTGGATAATTAAGTTGAATCCCATTTTTCACTACCATAAATCACGCTGCAATATAAATTTTTTTATGTAAATTATTGTGAACATTGTTATTATTTCCATAGAACAAATTTCTAGAAGTATAATGACTAGGTCAAAGAGAATGAAGCTTTGTAGGGTTTTTTCTAAGTCCTCCTAAATGATCTTTTAAAAAGACTACATGGTGGAAGAGAAGACTGCGCTCACTTTTGTTTTTTCTTTTGTTCCAGATGCCGATCCCACTCCAAGTCTAGGACATCATTCACATCTTGGACGGCAAATTTCACATACTGATGAAGGCGCCGAATTTCCTACAAGAAAAATACGAGATGGGAAAATGACACCGTTTTCCAGTAGCTTGGAGGAAGGTATGTCAAAACAGTTAAAAGGATTTTAAAGTATGTTTATACTGAGAACTATAATGAACAAGGAAAGCATAATAAGCTTTAATATAATCATTGATACATTATAATTCAAATGAAAAACAGAAACTCAGGCTTTTGAAGTGTGTGACAGACAGGTGGTATGAAGAAAGGGAAACAGAATGGGCGTGGCCGCCTAGAGCCTCTAGAGAACCAGTGTTTTTGCTTAGGTCTCATTTTTCAGCTCCTGTATAGCAGCTCAACCAGGTCCAGGAATTTTCCACTGCACTCTGGTACTCCGACAGTGCACCCATTTAACTTTTGTTCTCCTACCCATGAAATTAACTGTAATATGGACAAAATTATTCTACAAAACGATGCTGAAAATAACTCTGCACCCAGCTATTCAGAGCACAGAGCATGTAAGTCATCTCACCAGCAAGGAAAAACTCATTTCTCAAAAAGAAAGGATTATCAGCACTAGAAACTGAATTTACTGTTGTTAAAATTCTTACCTATTCATTTATTCTAAGACTGTAATAATTTTCTTTAAGTTATGGCCTAGTGTTAATCTTCATGGCTACACAATTTGACTCTCAAAAATTAAAAATAAAGCATTCCATTACTGGAAATGCAGCATCCCATTAAAAATGTATACAAGACAACGTGCTATATGCTGGGAAAACTGTATCTGTGCAAAAATCTTACTGTGTTTAACTGTATTTTCGAAGTTATTCTTGGACAAGGGTATGTGTTCTGACTGAAAAAGAAAATGTCATTTAAAGAGAGCCAGGCTGATCTGAGGAAGCAACAGTAACCTTAGTGTCGAGTATAAATTTCAACTCAGTCCTTGAGGACTACAGGGAGGCCCTTTACTTTGGACGCTTCATGCTTCACAGGTGATCACCCCTCTGTGCATTAACTGATGTTGTTTCTTCTGAATGCCCTCCCCACTTTGTCTTTGTTTTCATCTTTCAATCTATTTAAAATTGTCTCACAGCTTTAGTGGGGGTCATCCCGCTAAAAACAATTTTTCTTCTAAAGCCTATCACAAATGCTTCTCTTCTGTGGCTTAGCTACTCCCTCACCTTCAATCCCACAGCAACATACCCCACACTGTATTTCCATGTTCAACTTCCCACTGCTACTTTCCATCCCGCTGCAGGGACGGCCTTCTGCAGCGTCGCGTTTAAGAGCACTGGCTCTGAGCTGACCGCCCAGGCTCCAGGGCCCAGCCCTTGGCAGTGGTGAGACCTGGGTCGTTCCAGCATCTCTGTTTCCTTACTTTTCTCTGGGATATGGTACGCATTCCTTAAACGCTAGCTATTATTACCTACTTAGAACTGTGAAAAAGGAAGATTATTTCCCTTTGAATAGGGAAAGTGTTCCCCAAAAGCTGAACTCTTGGCTAGTGTGGACATGGAGCAGGAGGTAGAGAGGCCCGGAGGAAGGAAATGTAAGAAGATGCACCGTGGAGGCCGGTGATTTGCTGAGCAGCGGGCGAGCAGGCAGCACCCTCTTGCTGAGGGCGCACATCCCCAGGAGAAGGACACAGCTAGGATGCAGCAGGGGTTCCTCAACCTTTCTGAGAGGGGGAATCACTTCTTTCATTTTCCTACTGTCAGTAAGTTTACCAGGTATGGGATGGAAATGGCAGGAAAGGTAGCATCTGCAGTCAAATTCTGAGGTGGGAGGGGACTCGTCACACTCACAGACCCTCACAACCCAGGTAAGGAAGACCGGGGCTGCCACCGTGAGCCCCTGCCTACTGGATTCTAGGAAAACCCGCGGTGGTGCGGGATGACCCCCACTAAAGCTGTGAGACAACAATTTTAAATAGATTGAAAGATGAAAACAAAGACTAGATTGAGCTAAAAGATAATATAAGAATAATTAAGAATTAAAGCCAGAAAAGAGAAAGGAAAATATTATATGCTATCACTCATATGTGGAATCTTAAAAAAAAAAAAAGACACAAATGAACTTATTTACAAAACAGAAACAGGGGGAGGGTATAGCTCAGTGGTACAGTGCATGCTTAGCATGTACAAGGTCCTGGGTTCAATATCCAGTACCTCCACTAAAAAAAAAAAAAATAAAATTTAAAAATATATAAATAAATCTAATTACCTCCCCCAACCAAAAACAAAACCAAAACAGATTCACAGACATAGCAAACAAATTAATGGTTACCAGGGAGTAAAATAGGTGGGAAGGGATAAACTGGAAGTTCGAGATCTGCAGATACTAACTACTATGTATAAAACAGATAAGCAACAAGTTTCTACTGTATAGCCCAAGGAACTATATTCAGTATCTTGTAGTCACCTGTAATAAAAAATGGAAATATACATACGTACATGTATGACAAACATTCTGCACACCAGAAACTGACAACATTGTAAACTGACTATACTTCAATTTAAAAAAATTAATTATCCAAAAAAAAAAAAAAAAAAAGAATTAGTGAGAGTGAGAAAAGTAACTTTGGTAATAGTGCACAGGAAAGAGCCCCAGGAGGGTGGAGGTTTTGGTTCTGGTCCCACTCTTAGCAGCGACAACAGTACCCTGGACAAGCTCCCTGGCCTAGGACACTCCATGTCCTATCCGTACGACGGGATCAGTAAGATCACCGTGCAGAGTAAGAGGTTTTGAAGACTAGAAATACTGTATAAAAACTATCTTGCAGTGATCAATGAACAGCTACTACTGTAATAATTACTATTCATGATTTGATTTCTAAATGTATCTTTTTCAACAGCTACTCTCTACCAAGCTTAGGGTTTAATTATGAATTATATTTTTGTTTAATCCAAAAAAACACTAAGTGGAAAAGTGCCATTTTCTTTGTCACAGTTAAGGAACTCGATGGGAAGTAACTCTATAAGGGCAGTCACCCAAACCTGTACCTCAGAAAGGAGAGCGACTGTCACCGGGGCGGGTTTTAAGCACATGCCCTGGCTGGACTCTCCTACCTGGAGCTGAGCTTCACTCTTGGGATCCAGTGGTCTCTTACAGAGCAAGTGCAGATATCCGGAGTCACGGTTTCTCTCATTTTGTTCTCTGGCTTCTTCAACACCAGCAAAGCCCTCAAGTAAAGTTGTTTTCAGGGTACTTATATCTCCATGCAGAGACTAGAAAAGGTACAAGGTTGTGTCGATAACAAAAGTGCTAGTTCCAAGAAATAAACCTTTCTTTCTAGATCAAGGAAGGTGTTTTTCTCAAATATTTAATATGATGAACACCTGAATATAGTTACTGGTCAAGCAAAAAATGAATTTCACTGCTTGGAAAGAAAGATGCTAATGTTCATTGTTTTTCATTCTTCATTAAAAAATACATATTCTAATAATCAGAAACTAAGGAAAAAGAAAAGTATCAATAATCCTGATCACTACTAAAACGTTGGAGAACTTTCCTCTTTCCAAGCGTGTTATCTAAGGCCAGAGTTCTGGAGTAGGACAGTCCGAACTGGGGTCCGGGCACTACCACCCAGTAACTGAGTGGCTCTGGGCAAGTCACTCCAGCTTTCTGAGCCTCAGTTCCCTGACGTGCAAAATAGAGAATAACAGTAATGACCACACAGAAAAGGTGTGGAGTCAATGAGATAATGCAGATAAGGTATTCAGCACGATGCCTGGCACACAGGAAGTAACAATTGTAACACAGTAAACAGTACTGACAACGACAAGTATTTATTATTTTTATACCACATATTCTCTTAGGTATTTTGTTTTTCCTTAAACCTAACTTTATAACCTAATAATTTACTACAAAAGACAGTAAATTTTCTCCTGTAAATGACCCATAATAGCTTCATTAAAGTCTGTTTTTATACCAAGAAACAAAAAAATCAGTAAATTTTCAAATATACCTAAACTAAATTAAGAACTGTAATAAAGTTTAACAGAGTGCCTTGCACATGTCGGTAGGGTAGGAAGTACTCACTACTCCATATGAGAAAACTAAAACAGAGAAGCTAGAATAACTTGCCCAAAGTCACATAATCTCTTACTAAGAATTTGAACCGAGACATTCCTAAGTAAATCATTTATCCACATAAAAAACAGTGATATTCTCTGAAGAGAGAAAATATATATTATACATCCATGGAGTGTTAAGAGAGCAATTTTTAAAAGTACAATTCAACTTAGAAGAATATCAAAAACACAAACCTCTGTGGTCTCTTTAATCTCCAAAAGAAAGGTGTGCAGGTCGTCTGATTCTGTTCGCAGCATCTTCATCTCCTCGGAAGTACCCACTTGGAAACAGGCTTTGGCAGTCCGGGCTTTCAACTCTTCCAGCTCCTTCTGAAAGTGAGCGATCTGCAGAAGCCACAAAGGAGGAGGCGACTTAATCTGAACGTCAAGCAGTAATGTCCCACCCCTGGGCTTGCTAACAGCACAGACTCCTTGGGACACACCAAGGTTCAAAGCCAGAATAAAACAGCCACGCAGAAGTCTGCACTCAGAGCCATTCCAGTCTCACTGTCAGAGTTACTTGTGGAAAAAGTCTGCAGGAGCAAATTTACCTCCTCCCCGATTCCAGCCATCACAGGATCTGACTCTTTCCACTGATGTCCCTGCTTTTCTGTAACAGGAGGCTGAAGTGATTTCACCTGAAACGAAAGGCAAAAGGTTTAAAAGTGCATCCTATACCCTGGTGATGGCTTTTTGGAGCAAGTGGTTCAGCGTCTACCACAGGTAGTGGCACTCTCATAATACAGTCACTGTCCACCATTCACTCATTTGAACCTGTATTTAGCGGGTACCTTCTTGGCATTAAGCATGTTCTAGACAGTGGAGATAGGAGTAAACAAGGTAGACGAGGTCCCCAATTCTCAAGGAACTTACCTTCTACTGGGATAAGATGGATAATGAGAAGTAAACAAATCAGGGAAGTTCAGTTAGTGATAAGTGATATGAAAAAAGTAAACAGGAACATATAAAGAGAATAAAGGTGGGCACTGCTTGAGGTGAGACAGCGCAGAAAGCCCTCACTGAACCAAGACCTGAAGTAAGGGAGAAGCTATGGGAAGTTCCCGGGGAAGCACCCCTCAGGCAGCGAGAAGAGCAAGTGCAGGGAATCAGTGAGGCAGGAAAGACCTTGGCAAGTTCAAGGCAAAGAGATGAAATGAAAGCGGGCACAACTGAAGTCAGGGAGGGAGCCGGAGGCAGGCAGACGCAGGTCGTGGAAGGCTATACCGAGGAGGTTGGATCTTATTCTAAGTGTGGTGGAAGACTAATAGTGGAGTTTTAGGAGAGTTTAAACTATTCTTTGATTTATGATATTAAAATAGAGCACAGATGACAGTGAGAGGTAGAAGAAACAGAAAAGTGGTCAGGAGGCCAACAAGGTAAGAGATAATAATGGCCTGAAGTACGATGCCAGCAGGAGACATAGACGTGGATTTATGACATACACCACATCAGTGCGGACTGGGGAGGAGCTGTTAAAGAGAGGCATCTACAGCGACTGGTGGATTTGAGGCTTGAGCAAGCTGCCTGGCCAGTGCTACTTACCAAGATGGGGATACTAAAAAAAGAACAGGTTCCAGGGAAGACAGAAACCTAGAGTTCTGCTTTAGAGATACTGTAATTTGAGTAGCCTTCAGAAAATTTGATACCTACAGCAATTAACACATAGTTTTTAGACTACATGAGCCTTTGCTGAAACAGCTTTATTTAATAAATACCACGTGTCATGCATTCCGCCAAAAGCTATACTAATGAACTGGGCATTTACTGTGGGCGTCATGTGGGTATGTGCTGGGGGCACAAACAGGGTTAACTGGGAGAGAGGCGAAAGGAAAAGACACAACTCCTGAGGGCACTCAAATAATCAAGTGGGAAACAGACAGAAAATTCTCTTTAAGTTAAACCATAAAAATCAACTGAGATGACAGACTGCAGATCTAAATATGAAAAGCAAAATAGCAAAGCTTTTAGAAAAACAAAGGAAAATATCTTTTTAACCTTGGAGTAGGCAATGATTTCTAAAATGGGACACAAAAAGTACTAGTCATAAAAGAAAAATTAAAATTAAGAATTTATAATTATCAAAAGAAACCACAAAGAGAAAAGTAAACGCAATTCAGAGAAAGTATTTGCATTATATGGAAGTGTTTGCATGTGTGTGTGCACATGCAACACTGATTTCCTAGAAATCATTAAGAAAAAGACAACCCAACAGAAAAATGGGTAAAAGACTTGAACAGACACCCTGTAAAAGATAGCCAAATGGCTAACAATCATATCGAAAAAGAAAGCTCAATTTTACTAGTTGACAGGGAAATACTCATTAAGACCACAAAATACAACAATAGAAAATGAAAAGTGCCAGGCCTGGCGGAGCACCTGGGCTCTCACAGACCCCTGGTGGGAAGACACTGCAGAGGAACGTATGCACAGTCCATGACCCGACAATTCCACTCCTAGGTATGTGCCCCCCAAAATGCTACGTATATTCACCCAGAGACATCAACTAGCATGGTCGTAACAACACTACTCACAATAATTTAAACCCAGAAGCAACTCAAATGCCCATCAAAGGTGGAAAGAAACTTGTAGTATGGTCACCCAATGAATTCCGTACAGCCACAATGATAGGGAACAACCTCACAAACGTAATGTTGAGCAAAGCAGTCAGATACCAAGAAAGTATACCATGTGATTCCATTTCACAGAAGGTACAAGCAGACTAAACTGAGCTATGTCGTTGGAAATCATTACAGTGAGACCCCTTCGGCAAGGGTAATGACCTCGAGGGGCACACGTGGGGGCGGATTCTGGGATCCCAGTCATGTTCTAGTTCTTGATCTGGGTCTTGGTTACCAAGGTGTATTCAGCTGGTGACAATTCACCTGAGGTGTACATATATCACATGTAACCATTTTTTCCCCATGTGTATTATATGTCAGTAAAAAATTAAAAAAGGAAAATAAACTGAGTTGCTATGGAAAGGCAGAGAAAAAGAGGGCAAAGGATCAACTTCTTTGGGAATAAGAGGAAAAAAATCAGGTGCTATAGTCTTTTCAGACATAAAGAGAACACAACAAATGGAACAGCACAACATGGATAAGCTCAGGAATCAGCAGAGAAAACAATTCTCAGATTCTAGGGTTGAGATACATGGCTTTTATAAACGCACATTTCAAATATTCAAAGCTCATACTTTGGTATTTTCTATCGCATAGTACTAAGTACTATTTCAAAGGTATGAATTCTGAAACACAAAAACTTGTTTTAAAAACATGCATGTTTTGGGCAATAAATTAGTAAACACAGCACTGTAGGCTGAGTTTAAACATACCTGGGGAGAGCCTGACTTGGCCACCGGAGGGGTTATCCTAGGCGATTTCTGCACCATGGAGGGCGCTGGACTTGGAATGCCCTGAGCCGACCGCACTGCTAGAACAAAAAGTTAAAACAAACAGTATTTATTCCCGTTATTTTCCCATCACAAATGTCCTTTCCTCAAATCTAAAAAAATACGTTTCTTATTGTCACTGGCCCCTCTTTTATACCTTTGTTACCGAGAGTGACATCCATAGTTCTAAAAGACATGTATTACATTTTTAGACAGGAATCTTTATAAAGCAGATGAAAATGGACTCTGATAAGAGGCGTGTGTATTTGTTTGCAGGCCCAGGAGGCCGTCCACTTGGGCCATCCTTACTTCATGTGGCTCCTGAACGCACCTCTGGGAACAGTAGAACAGTAACCCCATCACCTTGTAAAAACTTATAGGGTCTTCAGACCCTCTGAAAGCCTTTAGGACAAGTCTCATCCTGTCATGCATCAGAATCACCTAGAAGCTTTTAAAAAACAAATGCATCAAAAACTCACACCCAAGGCTGATTAAACTGTCAGGAAGGGGATCCAGTGTGCAACTGGGATTGTGATCCAGTACTCTAGGACCCACTGAACTGTAAGAATCCCAACATGGCAATGGGGGTAGAGAGAAGTGGGTGGTGAGCAGTGGAAAGAGAGAAAGTGTTTGTGTGTTATGGTCATGTTTTCTCTCCCAAACTGTAAAGAGATGGGAAAAGACTAAAGTAAGACTTGTTAACTTCCTAGGTCACAGTCAGAAGCTTTTCAGAATTTGATGAAAAGTCCCAGAGTAAGGTGACTCTGGCAAACTCCACAAGGCAGCCCTTTCTCTTGAGCAATAAGTAAGAGAAGATTTCAGGAATTTCACAGCTCAACACTTGCTCAGTATTTACCAAGATAAAATTATTCCTGATCCTCAAACACCAATGGCTACCTAAATTTGTCTGGCTAGATATTTATTATCACTGGCATTCAGGAAAACCAACTTAAAAACTGAGAAAGACCTGGCAAACACTATCCCAACCACATGAGCAAATTAACCTCACTTATGTCAGGACAAAAGGAAATCATGCAACATGATGCACATCACCTATGTGGCATTACTGCTCAAAACGTTTCATGTGAACCTCACCATGTGGAAACTCAAATCCAAATTGAGGGACAGTCCACAAAGCTACTGGCCTGACCTCTTCACAAATGCTAATGTTGAGAAAGACAAAAAAGGTGCAAAACTGAGACTAATGAGACCAAATCAGAATATAATGTGTGGTCGTTGAGCAGCTCCCAGATTGGAGGGGAAAAAGCTATACAGACCACAATTGGGACAACAGTGGAAATGTGAACATGGGCTATTGACTGGATTACTGTTAAATTTCCTCCGTGTGATAACGTATTGAATGCCCCTGTTTTTAGGAGATAGACACTGAAGTACTTAGTGGTGAAGTGCTTCCTGTCTGCTATTAACATTCAAATGATTTAGAAAAAAAATTTACATTAAGACGGAAAGACATAAAGCAAACAGTGCCAAGTATCAGCAAGTGCTGAATTTCAGTGAAGGGCATGGTACTCATCATATAACTTACACCACCTTTCTGCAGATTTGAACGAAGGAAAAGATAGGCTAGGTACGTTTGCTCCTGGAGCTTCATAATGCACATCAACTTGGCTATAAACATTATGTCCATTTACGACCTTTATTTGATAAATCTGCTTATAGTAGGGCTGAGTATGAAAATCCAAACGGTCACCAGAAGAAACAAGCACAGTTGCCACCGTAGGCTCTTCCTCTTCTGTGCAGCTCAACGAATGGTCTGTGACTGACCTTCACGCAGGGCAGGCTCCACGGGAAGAGAAGGCCCCACAAGCAGAGACAAGCGTGGCAGTACTGAGCCCACGGTGACTCTTCCCAATTCAGAGCACAAAAGCCACAGGGCATTCGTGGGAGTTACAGGAAGCAAGAAAACTTAACCTAGTCCAACTATGTTAGCTAACATTCTGAAACAACTTTGAAAAACATTAATCTGAGAAATCAGGACTGAGCTCTAAAGCAGTTTGTGAAACATACCTGATGCCGAGGGAGAGACTGAGGACTTGGATGACGTGGAACTGGATGATGCTGAGAGCGGCGCAGGGTGGCTGAGGGGCCCGGAGGGAGCGGGCCTGGAGGCAGAGGAGAAGGGCAGCATCGAGGGCGCGCTCTGTGAGTTATGCGCAGGAGCAGGGGGAGCCGCGGCGGGAAACCTGGAAATGGCGGTCCGAGTGGATCAGCATGGCCTGCTGCTAACAGGTTTTTACACACTGGTCACCAGCAATCACCAAGGGCGAACTTACCATCCACAGTTTTTTGCCTTCACACAGAGCATGCTAATAATCACTGGACACACGACGTGTTCCCGTCCTAACACTACAGTAAGCAAATGCACCCTATAGTAGTCAGAAATGGGCAACACGTTTCAGGAAACCACGAAGCTATTTTTTCCCTCATTCTAGGACAAACAGATTTGCGTGACAGTCATTTCAAGTTTCATTTTCACTTATCAGACAAAGATTCCTTGAGGAGAGCCTGAGGCCCACCACCTCCTCCAGTCTCTGCAGCAGCTCTGCACATAATACGTGCTCACTAAACATTCGGTGAAGCGGACTGATTTAGGCGGAAGGGATCAAGGCTAAATAAAGAACTCAGAGTAAATAGAAACTTGCTTTGTAATTGTTTCTTTGACAGAAAGTAAAAAATTCTAAAGCAGAAGACGTCACCCGACAGCTCAGACACCGTTTCCGTCCCCCTTGCCCATCCTGAGGGTGGCTGGGCCGCAGCGCGACGGGAGACCATGAAGAACGGAGAGTGACTGAAGCAAAACTTAACCTTCCTGGGTGGGGTCTCTCAGTGGGATGCTGATGGTCCACTGGGAAGGGAAGGGAAATTTCACCTAAAGAGCAAAAGTCTGTAAACAGTCTAAATATCCAGCATCAGATGACTGGTTGAATAAATTACAGTATGGCCACAAAACAGGGTATCAGGCAACCTTTAGAATGAAGTGGCTTAATGACAATTTAATATTAACAATGACAGCAGCCAGCAATCCCTCCACAGTAACACAGAGGAGTGGGGGGAAGACCAGTAGTGTTTACCCTCAATGGTTATCTTGAGAAAGGCAAGGCACAAAGATTACTTCTCCCAAGCAGCTTACATTCTAGTGGTGAGAACAATACAAGCAGATAGAGATGTAAAAAGTAAGACTGGTGTGAGTTAGCAGGACTCAGATCTGGAGGAAACTGGTATGCAGTGCCAAAGAGTTAGGACTGTACTGAGAGAGCAATGAGGAACCACTGGGGACTGTCGAGCAGGAGAGACCTCTGATGCATTTACAGTTTCACAAGACCACCTGCTGGCGATGTGGAAAACAGTTCAGAGAGAGTCCAGAGTGGACACAAGGGGAAAAAAGGACTAAAGAGATTTGCTTTCTTTACGGGATATTAGTCTGTACTGCTTCATTTTTCAAAAGGAGTCTCTCCTACATTTAAAATCTGAAAAAGTAAAACAAGCACTTAAATACAAACTTTCAATAGTTTAAAAAAAAATTTTAAGAGATTTCTGGACTCTTATCCACTGAAGAAATTTAAACCTTTCATGTTGTCTGAATTTTCATCCTTTGCAACTATTACTCTGGAAAAAAGAAAATCTATTCAGTAACTTCACTTACGGCGATTCTCTTTCCCGTGAACAACATGCAGTATTGTCGCCTGTCAAACTTGAAGTGTTACTTACTTTTCGCTAAGATTGACCTTGACTGCAGAGGCTGACGGTGGGAACGTGGGCTTCATTCCTAGGTTTGGAGCGGACGCACTTGGCATCGGTGTGCTTTCCAGGGTAGGCTTAAAACCCGACGGCCCCGAGGAGAATGAAGCAGCTGGTGGTGCCATGGGAGAGGCCACAGGGGTTGGGGCGTAGGAGGCTGGAGAAGGAGGCGCAAAGGAGAAGGTGGATACTCCAGAGCCCAGGGCTGCTTTGGGATTGTCGGAGCTGCTGGAATACGGGGGGGCCTCCCCAGTGACAGAACCAGATGATTTCAGGGAAGAAGAACCAAAGGAGAACACGGCAGGGGCTCCAACAGCAGAAGGTAGAGAGAAGGTGGAGGTGGGAGCGGCCGATGATGAAGGCAGAACAGAGGCAGGAGCTGTGGCTGCTGGAGTGTCGAGTTTCTGTGGGGCTTGAGAGGAGGTTGGGGTGGTAGGAGTACTTCCTGCAATGAAAAAAGTGGTGAAAAAGGAAGGGAGAAGTTAACCCTGTAACAGTAGAGGTCTACACCATAGAAAGTAAGTGGAAAAGGACTGTGGTAGAATGAAGCCAAAAATAATGGTCCCAGTTCATGAAGGCGGAAGAAAGGGAAATGGAGTTGATGCTGGACTTTCCATAGCAAACATTCCATCTAGCAAGATGTATAAAACTTTGAAGGAAAAGGGAAGTGAGAAAAGACATTAGACTAATAGGACTTCATGAATACCCACTTAAGTAAAATAGAAAAAATAAACTTCTCAAGGTTACAGTGAAAAGTAAGTCATTCTGCAATATTTTATTACCAGGAAAAAACGAATTCAGACCTACACCTCATAATAGTCACTAAAGAAACTCCAGGTTAATTAAAGATACATACATATACAAAAGCATATATATATATATACACACACACACATATACCTCAAAACAAAGGAGGCAAAAAGTGAGCTAAGTCTCTGAGAGTCTAAAAACTTGGTAAACCTAGGAGTGACCAAAAAAATCACAAAAGATAAAGATTTGACTACATACAAAAATGGTTACACAACTAAAAGGTAAATTAAAAAATCTGCAGCAAATGACAAGCTAATATGTTTCATTTTTAAAGCTCATACAAATTAAGATTTAAAAAATATCAAGACTTCAATACATATGAGCTGGGAATCTAATTCACAAAAAGAAAAAGCAAATTTTCAAATCAAAGAAATGCAAATTTAAATGAGGCATATTTTTGGTTGTCTCCTAAATTACCAAAATTTAAATACACACAATATCCTATGTTTGAAAGGATGAACCAAACTTGAACTTTT